AAAAAAACTCATGTGTGAGCAACCTATAGAATTTGAAAAAAAGTTAAAAACCTACACTCAAATTCCAAGTAATCTATTGATATAATTTTTATTGAAAACAGTACAGTTTTTTTTTTTTTGAGATTATTAACTTTGGTGATCCAACATCTAATTTTAATTGTATAAATCAATTTTTCCAGTGACAAAATTTACTAAGTAGTTTTTTTTAGTTCCTAAATAAACTAAAAATATACATTTAATTCTCAAATTTGTACCAAGTTATACTTCTTTATTCAAAACTATAAACATTACAATTTAATGCATGCTTTTATCTTATCTACCCGAGTAATTAAAAGCAACCATTTATAACCAAATATTTTCATCATAAATCTCAAAATCTCTGTTTGATTCCCTCTCTAGGTTAGGCCTATTAGGGCCTATTGTGAAACTGAACCATCCAAGGTCTCACTCAAACACACAACAAATTTCATCAAAATCGGTTCAGCTGCTTAGGATGAGTTCAATTATTACATACTGTACTTACGCGCAGAAGAATTATATATATATATATATTACTTATATCTAGTAAAAATAATATAAAATGATATATTATATTATATTTGGACAGAAAAATATTTCTTATGGCTTGTCTTAAACCATACTTGTTATGATCATGACTGTGTTAAAATCTTTAAGTTTTAATATCAATTTATTTTTTATAAAATACAAATAGTTTAATTTTTTATTTTAGACTGATATGGCTACTATAATTACACGCATCTTATGTCAATGTATGGATCAAGTAGGCAAACGACTAGTATCAACAAATATTCATCGACACGGTATTCAATATGCAATGAGCGATTCATTAAGTAACCCTTACATTGAATATCCATTTAAAAAATTTTTCTGGATTCTTGTATCCATGTGTGATACCTTAATCCCATATGATGCTCAACGTTTGTAAGTAAAACATTAATTTATCTTTTACTTGTATTTTGTAGCAACATATGATTATATATTCTAAATAAAAATGTGATGAGGATAGAAAGTTTGCATCTAATTTAATAAAATGTCCATGTAAATATTTTATTAATCTTAAACATATACTGAAATGCATATTTTTCTCTGCAATTTATAAATGATTTATTTTGATTTTATTTAGAGCTAATGATTTTATTAGTAAACCTGCTACACAAGAGTTAATAAGTTCTGACAATGAATATGTTCTTGGATATTTGTATAAATTATCAGAATTGTATGATACTCAAAAAAGTTAATTTGTKGGTAAGTAAATAAAATGTAATTTTACCATCAATAGTGTTATAAGTCGTAACTTTGTAAGTAATATATTGTACAATTACAATTTGTTACACTTTTGTTACAATTTTGTTACACAAATTGTTAAATAAATAAAACGTAATGAGTATATTTTTTCCAATAAAGTGACACTTAGATTTATAAATATTTAAAGAGACGCCACACAGGCATTTGTTGTCCCCRTTTAACAAACATATAACATGACAAATTTTATGTTCACAATAATATATTTTACTCTGTAATTTCTAAAGTTAAAGTGAATTAACCTTTTATAGAATATTTTCTAGGGCATCTCTTAGAATTTTTTTGATATTATTGTTTTTAAGTTATTTTTAAACTGTTTTTTTTTTTATATATATTTACATTTCAAAACTATCTTAACTTACTTAAAAATAATAATATAAATCATCCAAGATRTTCTCTAATTATTATAAAAATTACAGATTAAAATATGTTATTGTGAATGTAAAATTTGACATTAAAGGTTGACAAGACTGAGATAACAAATGTCTGGGTGGCGTCTTAAGCATTTTCTTTACTTCTTTTCCAGAAACATTGAAACAATTACTAAGCACCAAACATAAAAGAAGAAATATGTCAACATATATTGAAGATGTGTAAATATATCATGCAAAATATTTTAATATATTTTATTATACATCATGTATTTTTATAGATAGTGTAGGTAATGATCAAACATTTTTTTATTCCAAAAATTTTAGTTATTAAAACTAACTTAATGTAAGCTCTAATTTTTACTT